AAGGAAAGGGAGGAGAAGGAAATAATGACGTTGTACAGATTCAACATGCAGTAACTTTTGCTTTATTAAGGTTCAGATTCTGTGCCTCAATTTGTCAGGAATGCTGGAGGAATGCTGATTATGGCATTGGGTGTACAATTCATTTTAGTAAAATCTTAGCTTTTGTCTTGAAAAATTGTTCTAGAACTTATGGCTCCAAAGACACTTTAAAAATGGATGAATAATACATAAGAAACAAAAGTCAGAGAACTGGCTTACCACTGTGCTCTTGCAGGATTTCAGTGCCTTGGAAGTTTCTTGTTCCTTCCTTATGAACGGCAATATATGAATAAATTATGCAAACTAGTAAAATTCTGAAATAAATCCTAAATGTATATAGGAAAATCCTATAATTTGCATACTGCATGCAAATGGAAGATCTGGCATTTCTTTGTGGAGAATTTGGGAAGCTTACATGCAGAATTTGTTGTGAGAGCACGGAATGCACATACCCTTGCAGTCCTAAGTTCCCAGAAGAGTGTTCTAGTGACTGTAGGTGCTGCTAACAACCTCCGAATGGGGATTCAGGAATCCAGTCCTCCCCCTGTGCCCCTGCAGTCACCACAGAAAGAACTATGCTGTTTGCTTTGCAAACTTGCATATGTGGCCTTGTCTTTGGAGGAATCTCCAAGGAATCATTCCAGTGAGGAGGAGAGGAGAGACTAGATTACAAATATTGTTAGGAGCTCTCCAGCATGCCTTCCTTACATGGGCTCAGAGGAAAATGGAAATGGCAGGGACAGAGAGATGCAAAAAGTGCCACTGTTACTTCTCCTGCCAGCAGTAGCTCTGCTGCGTACTGAACATGTGAGCGCTTCGTGGTCTGGAGGCACCTGTCATAGGATTGTACCTTAAATGGATTGATCTCTGCTCAGCCATGAAACTCTCCTGTGGGCCAGTTTGCATGTAACAGGAAACCACAATTGAATGTTATGTGCACTTCTCAAGAATGAGAAGGTGCAAAGTGCTGGCTTCCTGCTTTCCTGTATCTGCTCTTTTCCTCTCAGTGGGTAAAAGAGGAAATAAACCAGATTGTTGTTCTGTGTGAACTGGGAATTATGGTGTAAAAAACCCTCTATTTCCTGAACTAGCTGCACATTAAAGTGTTTGAACTTTCCAGTTGTACAAAAACTTTGTTAGGATACCATAGAGACACTCAGCCAAACTCTGGTGCATCCTAGGCCATACTGCACTCCTGGTTTCTAACATATGTATTTTGTTCTTGTGCCATTAAATTGTTATACTTACCTTCAGCAGATGCAGATATTAACATACAATTAGGAAAAACTTTAGTGTACCATGGTATTTTTAATATAATTACTAAAATTTATTGTATGTGAACGATTTGAGTATGCATGTGTGAAATTCTTTTCCTTCTTTTCATTTTCCTTATACTGCAGTGTTTTATACCTTTACTGATAGCATAAAAACCACCAGATATGCGGGGGGGGGGGGTGGTTGTAATTGTGTTATTTTGGCGTGATTAGTTAATTTCACTCATTATTTATTTCTCTTCTGTATTGCCTGTAGCCAGAGGCTTAGTAGTCTTGTTTTATTATTCATTTTATCTTTTTGTTTCTTTTAGTCTTGTTTATATTTCTTGTAATGAAAGTGTAAGGTATTGTGAACTGTTGTATTTTACACAGGGCCCAAGGGATGCAGAGAATGATGACAATGATAAAGGTGACAAGAAAAATAAGGGCACATTTGATGGTGATAAACTGGGGGATTTGAAGGAAGAGGGAGATGTAATGGACAAGGCCAATGGCTTGCCTGTACAAAATGGAATTGATGCAGATGCAAAGGATTTTAGGTATGTTCCTCTGTGAGTTTCTTTGTGCTGTGCTACTCTATGCCCTGAGCCTGCAGGAGGGTGCAGTGGGTCCATTATGGTCAACCAGTATGTGACTGGTATGTTTGAAGGAGGAGTTTGACCAAAGCAAAAAAGTTTTCAAAATACACTTGCATGTGTTAAAGTAGATCGCTTGCTGTATTGGGGGAGCTGTGTGTGCCAGTGGGTGGTTCCTAGAATATGCCAATGCGAAAGTGTCTAGTGTCTGATGCTGCATTGTAATAAAAGATAAGTAAGAATTGGAGCTCACAGTTCCTGGGTTTCTTTTGGGATGCCATGGTTTGTAGACCAGCCTGTTGTCTAACACCATTTCAAAATGGTTTCCCAGGGTACCTTTTATTTGTAGCAATGCAACCAGCAGTTGCCTGAATTCCAACTCTAGTTTGCCAGGGGAAGGGCGAGTCAGAGTTTGGGGTTCAGATATCCTGCTAACAATCCAAGGAAGGTGTGTCCTGGGTTGTTCAGCTGCTCCTGCAGGTAGTGAGAGTAATTGATCTGCAGAGTAATCCAGGGTTTAACCCTTGTGTGTGAGGTAGGTAAGTGGTAGCAGTAAGATGCCTTTATTGGAGAAATCTTTGCATGCAAATATGGCTGTTCTACACTTTTGCAGTTTAGTAAAGCAGATTAACTTTTATCTGTCTTAAATTAGGTTAGTGGGAATTACCAGGAACCGAGCCAAACGCTGCTTATTGGGTTGTACTGTTCTGACAGTCCTCTTCTGCATTTTTAGTTCTAGGGATTTATTGAGCCTCTTATGGGCTATTTATGATTGCATGGTCTGTATGCAGCTTGATTAAAACTCCGATCCTTTGCATGGCTGGGGAATGTTGGGAGTTGTGGGGCTTATTTCTGTCTAAACATGCATAGGATTGCATACACAGAAAGTTTAGTTGAATAATTGCACCAATTTGATAAATTGATTAAATTTCTATACATGTTGCAAGGAAGACAAACAGTAGTTCCTTGGTTTTGCTAGCAGCAGGCATCAACCTATAAGTGAGGATGTGTGATAGAAGAGGAGAAGTATATCTTATAAGATAGTTTCTGCTCCTGGAATTTTTTTGAAAGTACTTATATTAAATAAAACAGTCAGATTCCTTTAAAAATCTGCCTAATTAAGTTTGCAGGGGAATCTTTAATTGATCAAAGGGCTTTTGATGCATTTGCTATAATAATTCATATCACAATCCTGGGCAAGTTTAGCAATTTCCACTTGTGTTCAGCATGGCTTACTACCCAGTTAGTATGCATTTAGGACTGCAGTGCCATTGTTGAAATCCCAGTCAAAAATTGTGAAATCTTAGCTAAAGCAAATTTTGCTGGAAGCACTGGCAGCCAAATTGTTAAAAGCAATATTTGATATTCCAAAGTTTATTGGCATTTAGAAAAGAGAAGAACCAATATGATTTTTACTACACTGGCATTGTCCATAACAATGCCTTTTTAAAAAGTGTTCTCAGTAAGTAGTCATGTTTAGATTTTTTTTTCCCTTTTCCCTTTAGCCGGACACCTGGCAACTGCCAGAACTCTGCAAGTGACGTGGATCTTTTAGGGCCAAACCAGAATGGATCTGAGGGCTTAGCCCAGCTAGCTAGTACGAATGGTGCCAAGCCTGTGGAGGATTTCTCCAACATGGAGTCCCAGAGTGTTCCACTGGATCCCATGGAACATGTTGGCATGGAGCCCCTTCAGTTTGATTACTCTGGCACTCAGGTACCTGTGGATTCTGCTGCAGCAACTGTGGGCTTATTTGACTACAATTCTCAACAACAGGTAGAGCTTACATTTATTAACATGGGTGGCTTTCCCACCTTTTTGTCCCACTCAGTGTGGGTTTGCATGCACAAACCAACATGCTTTAAATGTTTTATGTTCCTGACCATTTTAATTTTGATGTGCACAGAACAGCTGTGGTTCCTCCATCTTGTTTTCCCCTTGATCTTTCTTATTGTTGTAGACCCTTATACTGTTGGCTTGTCTGAGTATGCAGGATAAGTGCTCTAGAAAGCTAGCAGCATCCTATCTGAACTAGAAGGCATGCTCAGGCTGAGGAGTTTATTTTGTCTTAGGAAAAGAACATCAGTTTTGCTTTGCAAGCCAAAACAAAAGATTTGTGTAGTGAGAGCCACTTCTAAACCTGTGTTTCCTGTATTGCCAGTATTGATTTGTGAGTGCTTTCCACTTCATCGTATGACAGTAAGAAACTTCTGCACCCATTTGATTCACAGCACTCTTGTGGCAGCAGCCACAAGCGCATACTTGAGGAAGGAAATTCCAAGAAATCTCTGCAGTTTAAGTCTTTAGAAACTGTACCTCAAGTTGCCCTTTGGGTTTGAGACCAAAGAAGAAGAGAAAGGAAAAATGTTAGCGCATAGGACTAAACAGAACTTCTAAAACATCTGTGAGGGTGGAAGAACTGCAGGCAGATTGGGACCCTCTGGGGCCCGAAGATAATGCAGTCTTAAAATTAACATCATTGAGGTGAAAATCACATTTGGGATGAAAACCTACGGGCAATTATAGAATCCCTTGAATCTGTTGGAGAAAGTTTTGCATGGCAGCCTTGAAATGAGAATTTCAGCAAAGTGGTAAAACAAAGCCTTTTCTTCCATCCCTTAGTTGTTCCAAAGACCGAATGCACTTGCTGTTCAGCAGCTAACAGCCGCACAGCAGCAGCAGTATGCATTGGCAGCCGCTCATCAGCCGCACATAGGTAAGACTTTCTGTCCTGTATTCTCAATAGCAGCACCTCAGTCTTCTGTTTTAGCTCATGTACTTCTTCAGGTTTCTATGCAAATAACATACACTTGTTTTTGAAAGGACAGAGCAAAGGATACTATGAGGAGTGGAAAGCAAATCTGAGATTATAATGTGCATAACTGTGATGGTGCCCTATCTTTCTATTGACCTGGTTTGCACAGAATGATGACTCCTGAGTTGTTTGACCCAGGAATTGTTGTGGCCGAGTTGCGGCATGGATGCTTCCTCCTCCGTGCTTGTTGCTTCTGCTTTCAATCAACAACCCTTGTTTGTCATTGTGACATCTGAACCTGGGACAGCTCAGGAACTGCCATTTCATGTGAATTGGGTCACTCTTGGTTTACTCATGCCTAGCAATGATGAGGCTCTTGCCCTCACTGAGAACATGGTTCTATAATGAGACCTTTCTTGTATGTACTCATTTGCTCTGAGCCAGGCATGAGATGGGCTATTTCCAATATTTAACCAGGTCACAGCTTAAGAAAAACAGGCTGATGCCATGGAACCCTCCTTGAATAGACTCACTTGATGGTTGATCACCAGTGCCCAGTTTTGTTGGTACTCACAACAGAACGGGTTTAAATAAATTCTTTATTTTATTTTTATTTTTCATAGACGAAGGGAATAAAGAAATAAATGAAAAAGTTACCAAGGGTCCTTGTACAAAAATTACATATAATGCTAGATACCAGAAATATCATAAAGATTGATAATAGATCTACCAAAAATTGATCTACCAAATTTGTAATGACAATTTTGACATAATATTTATGTAAAATAACACTTAGTTAAATTAATAACTAATTAAAACCAATAGTTATTATATAAAATTGCTTTGGCATAGATATCAAGTAAATAATAGCTTACCTTGTAATATCCACAAACCTGGTAACAGTTAATAATTTATTTTTCCCTCTTTTTCTTCCCAGATAAAACAATATCATAATAAAAAGAAATTAAATTCAGGGAGCAATTATACTAATTTGATCATTGTGTACATAATACTTAAACACTATAGGTTCTGTTTTTTCTCTGACTTGCTGAATAAAGTAGGTATAATAGACCGTCCATTTATTGTGAAATTCTTTAGCTGGTTTTCTATTTATATAGCTAATTAGTAAATGTATCAGGCAAGTCATCCTTACATAAGTACTACTTTTTTCTCTCTCAGTGGTTAAGTAAAATATGTATCATAAGCTTTCCAATTTATCATTAAATTCTTTGGCTGGTCTTCTATGTATATAGCTGGTTAATTTTGCCATTGCCTCATATGCAGCTAGCTTATATTTGGGCACTAGCTGGGCAGTCTTCTGCTTTCCATTTTGTTGCAATTGTAACTCTAACTGCTGTTATTGCATATTTAAGTAATTTTTCCATATTTCTTGGAAGAATTTCTAGCAGCAGCCTATTCTTAGTTCATAGGAAAGTTAATTTTCAAAATTTGCTTTATTTTAGCATACATTTCTTTCCAATTTTTTTGACATTACACATCCACTACATACGTTAAAAAGTCCCGTCCATTTCCTTGTCTTCCCAGCACTTTCCATTGTAATTCTGGTCCATTTTTCCCAACGTCTTTTGAGGTAATATAGCAACGAAAAAAACATTGTACCAAATTTTTGATAGTGCTTGACTAGCTGTAAATTTCGTTTCCTTGGTCCATAAGGATTCCCATTGGTAGAAGAATATTTCTGTTCCAGGGTTCTGCATCTGTCTTAACATACATCTTTTAACATGTTCAGTTTCAGTGTCATATTGCAATAATTGCTTGCAAATCTGTCCTAATAAATTATGTATTTGCTGTAAAATCAACACTTCAAACTCTCTCAGAACTCTTATAATTCCTCTTCCCACTTGCATTTCCCTTCTCAGTCCAGAAACCAATTGAAAGTAGAAGAACCATTCTATCGTCTTTCCTTCATCTTTTAGTTTTTGCTAAACCTTAATTCCTTTTTGTTGGTCAATCATATCTCCATATGTTACTGCTTTTTCTTAAATGCTTGTCAGAGTATGGTTCTATCGGGGACATCAAAGGAGGGCTCAGAATACCAAATTCTTATTAAACTGTCTCTGATTACATGGCTTTTATTTTGTGTTGAATATTTTTGATTGATTCCTTGATTCACAAATAATTATGCAACTGCATAATAATATAATTTAATATTAGGTACTGCTAGACCTTCTCTTTCTTTTTCATCTTGTAATACTTTAATCCTTGTTTTTTTCCTATTTCAAATAAAGGTGTTCAGTTGTCTTTGCCATTTTTGTAAGGTTTTTCCTTGTATGAAAATCATAATCTGAAATAGAAAATTCAAATTAGGTGGGACATTGATTTTTATAATGGAAATTCTTTCTAGCCATCTCATTTTTAGTTTGGATGATATCAGTAGGACTTTTTGAATCCTCATCCACATTATTTTATAATTGTCTTAAAATAATGTATTATTTTATCCAATCACATTTATTCTCAGATACTTAACTGGGTTTGAGGTTATTTCACATCCTGAAATTTTAAAAATATTTTTTGCTTCTTGTTTCGTTAACAATGTTTAAATTATTTTTGTTTCTTCTTGCTAATTTTATAGCCAGAAAAGATCCAGTTTTCAATTTGATTTATTATATATTGCATTGATAAATGTGGATTTAGGATCATCAACACTAGATCATTGGTGTAGCATTTTGCTTTATATTCTTCTCCATCTACGCTCAAGTCTTTCGTTTTTTGATCTTGTCTTATTTTTGTAGCCATAAATTCCAATATGAGGATAAATAAAAGTGGTGATAGTGGACATCCTTGGCATGTTCCGTTTTCCATTTGAAAACCATCAATCAATGCTCCTTTTATTATAATCTTTGCATGTTGTTTTGTATTAATTGCCTGTATCCAGTTCATGAATCTTGCATCACAATTTAAATAATTAAGGGTTTTTAATAGAAAGGACCAAGACACATTGTCAAACGCTTTTTCAGCATCTAAAATAAGAAATGCAGCTTTCTTTTTCTTCTTAACAAACATTATCTTTCATAAATCTCTTTGGTACAAAGCCAGTCTGATTTGTATGAATCTGCTTTGCAATGCATTTCCTTAATCTTTCTGATATTATTGATGTAAAAAGTTTAATCCACATTTATAATGAAATAGGTTTGCAGGACTGTGACAAAGTAGCATCATTGTCGTCTTTATATATCAGTGCTATATGAACTTCTTGCCATTATGAAGGCAACAATTTCTCTTTATTAATTTCATCCATTACTTTCTGAAGTGCTGTTACTAATTTTTCTTCTAAGCATTTGTAAATACATTGTTGTAAGACCATCTGGCTCAGGTGCTTTATCTTTTCGAAAAATTCTTTATAGCTTGAGATATTTCTGCGATGTTAATGGTGCCTTTCATTACATCTCTTATGTTCAGATGTGAATTTTTCAGTATGTGCTTCTTCTATGTATTGCTCAATTCCATCTTCTAAGCCTGGGTTATACAGACTTGAGAAAAACTGGTTTAAATAAAGTCTGTTTCTTTATCCTTATTTTCTCATTTTGGTATCAAGGCATTACAATTAGAAAAATCATACCTACTTCATTAGGTTTGAATCAATAATGACAAAGAGCTGATAGGTAAATAAATATTTACTGCTTTTAATCCAGGCATTGAATGCAAATATAGTTACTTCTGCTGCCAAGGTTTGCATTTGCTTTTATCTTATGAACAATATTATTTCCCATCATCTGAATCTCAGCATTGTGAGGTTTTATGCTAGAATTTAAAAGTATATTATAGCTATGTTTCTCAGGACCTACATACCATATTTTGCTTGCTTGGAATGCATATGTGACGAGCATATGGACAGCTATGCCCGCCCCTGGTCAAGTATTTGGCCGCTTAATAGTCCTTCTATTCATAATTTAGAATCTCAGTAGTGGGTATGTGCATGCCTGAAAGAACAGTGCTGTCCAGAGCATTGCCTTTTACTTTCCCTGCAGCAGTTCTGTGCTGAAGGGACAAGCTTCTTGTAAATTGCAGAGAAGGCTCAGGTCAACAGAGGAAAATATATGCATCAAAAACGTCTTAATAGGACTAAATATAATGGTCCTGCCCATTAATTACTCTTTAAGAATTTTTAGAATCATTTTTTTTCATATTTGTTTTCATGGTACCCTAGATTTGACACATAACCATTTTGCCGTATTGAAAAATCTAGTGAACTCTTGAATTCTGAGAACCTGATGTGGAAAAAATAAATTTCTAATCATCTTTAACCAGAAATCTTAGCCAGTCCTATAAGTTTTAGCTACATCTGCCTAAATTTGTGAAGGAGGAAAAACATTTGTAAGAAAAAGATGTGCTTTGGTTTATACTTTGGTGAGCACAATCTCAAAAGTGGCATCCACCCGTCTCTATCACCAAGGAAATTACACTTCACATATAACACTGTCCTTCAGCCATTCTTAAAAATGAATATCAAAATTTGCCAGCTCAATTTATGATGGCCACTGTTTTAGCTAAACTGAATATTTTAATTCAGATTGATGAGTAGGCCAAGCAGTGCAGCTGTATTAATTTGTTTTCAGAGGGTGGCTTGCCAGCTTTGATAACTCCAGTCTCACTGTATGCTCACTTACTGTGTTCCATCATAGATAGTCTCTCTCTCTCTCTCTCTCTCTCTCTCTCTCTCTCTCTCTCACACACACACACACACACACACACACACACACACGTGTTTGGTAGGGCTGCCATTCTAGTCAAGTTTGTTTTTACTGACAGGTATGTTTTCAGCAGGTTTAGCTCCTGCTGCCTTTGTGCCCAACCCATATATCATCAGTGCTGCTCCGCCAGGAACGGATCCCTATGCAGCAGGACTTGCGGCAGCTGCAACATTAGGTGAGATGCTACCGAGGTGTGTTCTGAAAATGCTTTAACCTGTGGCAGAGATACTGTAGCACCTTAACGAGGTTGGAACCAGACGGGCCTTGAGAGGAGTTACCTGCCTGTGCCCCTCACATCACAGAGTTGGGTGAGGAAAGCAAAATTGAGTGCAGAGGTGTGTTTGCTTGTGCAACACCTTATACAGACATACGAAAACGGCACTATTGGCTGTTTTCCTTCAGCCGGTGGCACTTTGGATACTGTCCAATCTGTTAAGCACTGTGTCAGGACTGACTCTGTGAACTGAGCCTCAAATAGGACAGTATTTGAGGCCCTCTTGTCCATTAAAGTCTTTTTCATGACTGAAGCAGCTGAAACCCCAGCGGCCTGGCAAAGTCAGAGGCAGACGTGCGGGGCTTTGGCAGCTGGGGTTCACTCCTGCTCCACCAGCTCTCCACCTTCCCCACGTCCCCCTTGGCTGTATAGTGTGTATAGTGTTGCACTGCTGTGGGAACTAAGTATCCTCTTTCAAAAGGAAACAGATGAAGGCCAGGGCATAGGCTGCATTATTTAAACCTCTGTGCTTATGTTGTTTAGGTATAGGTTAGATCTAGTAAGATAATGAACATTCCTTTGCTAGGTTGGTCAGGGAAATGAGAGGCTAACAGTGAGGTAATAACCTACAAATTAAGCTTTATTAAGGGGTTGTAAGAAAGGTGTTAACTGAACTGCAGTTAAGAAATTGGGGTCACAGTGTTATTTTATTTATTATAGCAATACCCCATTCTTCAGACAAGGTTATCTCTTAAACTCCGCACTAGTACAGTATAAGTATGTATTTGGTTTTGGTGGTGGTGCTATTGCATGTGGTGACTTCCTTCCTTCCACATGCATCTACACTTCCCTCTCAGTGGGGAACTGACTTTCCTAATGATGGCTGAAACTTGTCTTGATTCCATTGTTAATTGTGTGTAAGGATGGCTATGATTGAAAACTGTTTTAAAATCCCATTTAAGAAGAAATGTTGGTTGGCGTTATCCACAGTTAACATATAGATTGATAGGGCTTAACTATGGTTCAGGTATTCAGAGGACATTTGTCCAGACTGGAAATGAAAGAAGCTAACCTGTGATAACAGATGAGCACACATCCCCTAATCTTGCCAGCATTCTTGTGCAGCAAAGATAAGGGAGGTAATTTTGATTACTTGGCTGTGTGTGTGTAAAGGAATGAACACTGACTGAAAGCTGGCTGTGGTGTTCCTCTAGACAGCACATTTCCCCAAAAGACTGTGCCCATATGGCTGTGAGCCTCCGGGCACAGCACTGCCCCTATGAAGCAAGTGCCAGTGGGTAAAAACGGGGAAGATCAGGACACCTTTGCCTCTCACCCTGAAATTTTAATCTGAAATACCTTCACTTTGATTTTATAGCCTTCATATTTTAAGCATGTATACTCTATTCCTTTCCTGCTGGGAGCTCATAGCTGCTAAAAATTCAAAACATCTTGCAATTTAGAACAAACCCTCTAAAGATTACAAGATGGACAACTTGAATTAGCCAGGCAGAGCTTCGCTTCCCCAACACATTCCTGGTTTCTAATCACAGTTAACTAATGAGTCAGAGAATGGATAGATAAATTTCATCATTGTTGCTTCATTGATATAAAGCTCAGTATGGCCTCATGAAGATGCCTTTTATAATTAAGATAAGAACTGTGGCGGTCCAAATGTTAAAAACATTGCCAGATATTGTCTTGTCTCCATTCTCCTGTGTTCTAGCGAGGCAGCAGGGCATGTTTTCATGTTACAGTTTTGGGTAGACCCAGAACATATCTAGTGTTGGGAGCCAAGGTTCCTTCTTTGAGGATTCAAAAGCCACAGACCATTTTCCTTGCAAAGTGTTCTTTATTGACCCAAAAGCACAAATCACCCAGAATGAATCTCTGCGCCTTTTTAGAGCAGTTTGTTGAATCCAACCCAGTATTACCTCCTCTCCTTAGGAACAAGACTGGGGCCTATCCCTTCAGGAGGGGCCCTCTTCTCTGTGCACCGAGCCCATAATTGGGCCACCCTCCTCTGCTCATGCATCGTGGAGTGAATAGCTGAGGCTGCCTGGCTTTCATTTGAGAAACTCTCATGTTCACGGTTCCCTCCTGCCTACTGTATATCTCAAATATTCCCATGGGCTGCCTGCCCACCTGAGTGCCTCCTTTTTTTCCATATCTGTGTCTTGCGACAGCCTATCCTCTCTCCACATTCCGATTCGGATTCTTCTGAAGTCCATTCAGCAGTCCTTGAGAACAAATGCCCAAGTCCACCACCGCTCTCACTCCCAACACCTAGATATCTATTCATGTCTAGCAGTGATGATGCTCTTGCCCTCACTGAAGTTCTCTGATGAGAACTTTTTGTAAGTACTCATTTGCTCTGAGCTGGACATGAGTTGGGATACTTGAAGCATTAATGGCACAGTCCACTGGGGATGCCTGCAGGCCTCTGAACTTGGAGTGTTATGGGCATCCTGTAGAGGCACGAGAAGTGCAGAGCTGATCTTTGCCTCCCCGTTCCTCCCCCTCAGCAAGTTAGCTAGACAGCTGCTTTTGGCTGTCCATCTGCAGTGCTTCAGACAGGAAGGGAAGAAGGCTGGAATACCACCAGGGTGTGTTGTATCCTAGTGGCTCTGGTCTCCTCCCCAGCCCTGGAATCCCTTCTTTACTCTGTTCTCCAAGGGTGCTGTGTAAAACCTGGAAGAGGCAGCCAGTGTGTTTTTTTCTACACCAGCTGTGGGGGGAGGTGGAGCACTTTGTGTGCAGATCATCAGTTTCCAGATTGAATTCACAGCTCTGAGAATCCTGATGCTCTGTAGATGCTGTCCAGGAGGCCACAGGATCACTCAGCAAAGCTATTTTTAAAAGAAATGCATACATTTGCCTTAAAGCACTTCTTAAACAAATGGCAGCTGCTGGTTGACTAGTAGTACCTATTTTTTTTACTTCTTCTTTAGCTGGTTATACACAGAAACCAATGGAATAGGGCAGATGGAGCTGTGGGAAAATGGTAGCTGCATTCAGCATCGTAAGAGGAGGGACTTAGTGTTCTCCTTATGGCCTGTAAGATGTTGTGTAATGGCTGTCATGATCTGACGCCCAGTTGTAGGACTTGAGGCAGGTGATGGGGTGCTGATACGTTGGTTGGTCATCCTTGGACAATGAGAAGCTTACTCTGTCATCACAGGACTTATATGGAAGATGTGGTACAGATGGCCTGAGCGGTAGCTTTAGATGTTAGGAGCCTACATCCAAAATCATTCTCAACCATAAAGTCCCACGTATTGTGGTCCAACAGCTAAGCTGTTTCTGTTGACCAAAAGAGACTTAGGTACCAATCTCCATTCAGCCACAAAGCTAGTGGGGAGATCGTATGTCAGTCTTGCTACTTTTCAGCCTAACCTGACTGTGTGGCTTGATTGATTAATGAAAAGAGAAAGAAGCCTTAATAATGCCTTCTACTCTTCGGAGCAGAAATGAAATAGAAATATAATAAATGTGCATAGTAAATCTTATTTTCATCTTCTGCTTGCTGAAAATAAATAAAGCAGAAACAAACTTAATTTCTGTGATCCTTTTCCTATTTTTCTGTCATTGCAGCCAAGAGCAGCCTAATTATAGTTCCTCTTTTGAAACAGGAAACCTAAACTGGCTACTTCAATAAATTTAAAGTATATTTTCACTGTGATGCACAAATATTAACTGAATGCTCTACACAGAGCATTCAGTATTTTAACAAATACCGATACTTAACAATATCATAACAAATATTTTAACAAATATTTTTAACAATATTTTAGAGCATTTAAACAGATATTCTGTTAGAGACCATTCATGCCCTGCTCAAACATCCAGGTAATCTTTCAGAATAGCAGTGACACTTCATTTGTCTGGGCACAGACTGGATGGTGTGTGGGGGACACACACAAGTTAATGAAAATCAAGTTGATTTTAAAATATGATTTAAATTGCTGTGAATGAACAGGTTTGTATTTTGCTCATTCATTCATTTAAATCATTATTCCAGTTTGTACCTCAGATACTTCTTGCTCAGAAGAATGCCTGATCTAACCATTAAAAATGTGTTGATTTATAGTCCAGGCAGAATGCTTAGCCTTTGTATGAGAATAGTATTTGTGTGACATTTAATAATGTCAAATATTAGTGTTGTACCTAGAAGTTAACTCACACGTGAAACACCCCTTTATTTCAGAACATAGATTTTTATTTATCAAATTATGACAAGCAATAACCTGTCTGTCTGTCATCTCAGAAGAGCACTGTGCTGCCCCAGTTGGTTAGAGGGCACAACTATATGATTAACTAAGTGGACTCAGTGGTTTAATAAGGTGATGTGTAGGACAGCATTTCCTGAAATCATATGCAGGAGCCCAGAATCTTTCCACTCCCCAATCTCCCTTGCAACTTGACAGGGGAATGTATATCAGGCATGGAGCTGGTGTGAATAAGATGCCTCCTGTTGCTTACAATTAGAGGAAAATAGGTCAACCGCACCTACCCACCCACCCCCTGAACAGGAAGGAAGGGAGAAGAATACTGCTTCTTCTACCCTGCCAGCAAGGATTAAAATACGTCAGAGGCTCTGACATCAGTGCACTCTAAACCTAAAGGTAGGATTGCTTTCCCAGCAGAAATATATTTCCCTCTACTGCCAATCATTTGGGGGCCATTAAGAAAACGTGCAGCTAATAATCATCATAAGCATGATAGCAGCAGCAGCAGCGATCCACCATTTTTCCCAATACCTGCAAGTGCAGTATTTTTGTAACAACGTGGATGCTGAAATGTCACCAGACAGCAGTTTTATTTGTGAGTAGATGATAGCATGGGAATGATAGAGGGCTCTGCCATCCTTAATCTTTCAAAAGGCTGCAGTAAAACTGAATTAGAAACCAAGCCGGGCTAAGCATTACTAGTATGGTCAAAAGCCCTTCACAAAGAAAGTGCTTGAGGAAACAAAAACAGCCACATTAATGACATGACAGCGTGAGATGCTTCTGACTTAAAAATGGAAAAGTGGTCACTTGCCACTTGGACACGCTGTGGGAAAAAGGCATATGTAGACATAATGTCCTGGATTAAAACTATACCCATAGCTAGGAAGATTTGTTGACCAATGGATTTTTTTAAAAAAAAATACGATGTCCATGAGGGTGGGCTAGTCAATGTCAGCAGCCACAGAAAAGAGCACTGGGTGCCCAGCCCAAAAATGTATTTTTAGCGTTAAGGTACAACCTATTTAGGATGCTCATAAGCTACCAGACTCGGGGAAGGGGATCTGTAGGCACGTCCCCAGTTCTTTGCTCAGAATTCTTATCTTCGACCTTTGAACTGAGGATCCAAAGACTCCAGTTGCCCCTGGATAATACTGTCTTGCGGTCAGAGGATTGTTCTGTGAGAAGTGTTTTGTATGGAAACTAGCTATAAATGATATTGTTAAATAAATATTATTAACTTGTACCTTTTATTCACATTTTTTTCATGCAAGATGGGTAAGGTCAGCAAGCTAGGCAGCCACTGAAGATACTCTGTCTCATAAGATGGTCCTGTCTGATATTTGGTAGGAAATGTGTTCCCATCTAAATCTTCATTTCTAAATTTAGTTACTCAGGAGTAAGCTTATCCTTCAAGAGCTGGAAAAGCTCAGGTAGGACTGAAGTAAAGCAGTTAAATTGAGAATTTAAATTGGTCAATGGCTTTAGCTGCTTTTGCCAAAAGCCCCAAATGCCTTTGAAATGTGAGGTGTACTGCTTCTATTTATCCCTCCCATGATACAATCAAGTACTAATTAGCAATGTGCAAAAAGCACAGTCTCTTCATTTGGGCAAATCCACCCTTTGCTGTCCTCACTCTGTTAATGTGGGATGAATCGAAGGCCTGGGCGCTTGCTGTGCAGCCGGCAGAAGATAAGATCAGTGTTGGTGTTTTAGGGCCTGCGGTTGTCCCTCATCAGTACTATGGCGTGGCTCCTTGGGGAGTGTACCCTGCCAGCCTCTTCCAGCAGCAAGCTGCCGCCGCCGCCGCCGCCACAAACTCCTCAAATCAGCAGACCACCCAGCAGACCCAGCAAGGACAGCAGCAGGTGAGCCGCCCCGTGCAGGTGCAAGCTGGCCTCCGTTCAGCACGCGTGTCAAGGTGCTAAGGGTGCCTCTTTCCTGAAGAAGAAGCAGAGAGCCCGAATTGCTGCATGGTTTTTGAAACGAGGCAATGGTTGAAGGATTTGGTGGTTTGATGCAGCAGGTCGCCACTGCTCTATTTTTACACCCTTGTTTGTCTGTCTAACTTGGGATCCTTCAAGGGAGAACTGTTTTCTAGACTGTTTCTCTTTGATATGTTCCGATTTAAACACACAATTGACATGAAAATGGGCTTTTTGTTTTGAGATGAATGGTGGTCTTCACAGGGGACAAATCCTTTCAGCTTACGCACACTTTTGATTTCCAGACACCCAAGTATCAAATGGCTGTACTGGAAAAAAGGGAGAGTGCTTTCCAAGACACTTCAGCATCATCTGAGGCATGATGTGTCCTTCTGTTGGCCTCCGGTGCTAAGCAAGGGTGTTTTGCATGAGAGGAGCAATGAGCAATGTTAGTGTGTTGCAGCCCTTCCCCTACAACGTGTGGGGCTCATGTTGTGTTCCAGCATAATGTGCAGGCAAGAGTCACTTTTGAATGGGGTGCGCCCAGCTTCTCTAGGCTGCCATTTGCTTTTAAAGAACTTGCTACTGTTGGTTGCCAAAAATTAAATTGTGGTTGCCGTGGGGGACCGTATTTCTGGACTCCTGAGGACAACCAGTTACAAAGAACATTTCTGTTTCCTTTCTGTTTCTTTTCGGTGTCTCAGGTTCTCCGTGGAGGAGCCAGTCAGCGCCCGTTGACACCAAATCAAAACCAACAGGGCCAGCAAACTGACCCATTAGTGGCTGCAGCAGCAGTGAATTCGGCTCTTGCTTTTGGACAAGGGCTGGCAGCAGGGATGCCAGGTAGGAGCTTTTCTTTTCTGCTTAGATTGTGCTGAGTGGCGGCTTGCACAATACACAGGAAAGTGTTGTGTAAATTCTCTAGTGTGACTGATTGATCCTGCTTTCGTAGGCTATCCAGTGCTGGCTCCTGCAGCTTACTATGACCAAACAGGTGCTCTTGTGGTGAATACAGGGGCTAGGAATGGCCTGGGAGCCCCAGTACGACTGGTAGCCCCTGCTCCTGTCATCATCAGTTCCTCAGCAGCACAAGCAGGCAAGTCTTGTTCTGTTTGCACATAACACTAACCTGTAGTGGGGGTTGTTGAATTCTGGGTGTCTTTGTTGTGCAAACCCAGCTGCACTAACAAACTCTGGTTGGTAGACCCCAAAAACTAGAAAGGATATCTA